TACATAGGGCCCTATGTTTATTCTTTTCTGGAGGTGATAAACTGAATGGGGAATCACAGGTTCAAGACGAGAACTGTGACGTGTAATACCACAGAATCATGAGGATTCGGTTTACATGTTGTAAGTAGAATTTGCCATTAAAAGACACCCAACAAACAGCATGCTCAGGAATCAGAGCTGCACACAGGGCTGTGTTTCTATATGACCACAAACATGATTATATGTGAAAGCATGCACATAAAAGGTGTGATGGTGTGATGAAGCCATTGTCAGAGGAGCCATCTTCAGCTGTTATATGGGGGACTAGGTGTGACAAAACTGAAGTACAAGTGTCTTCAAACACCAACACACAGCTCATCACAATAGGCAGTGACATTCTAATATAATAAAGTATTCCAGAGCAGAACTTTAAAGTGAAACTAGATAAAAACAACCTCCTGGAGGTACCGAGGTCTAAACGGAAGCTCAGAGGGGATAGAGCCTTTTCCGCTGCCGGTCCCAAACTGTGGAATGGCCTCCCATTGACCATTAGACAAGCCCCTTCACTGTCCATTTTTAAAACTCGCCTAAAAACCCATTTTTATTCCTTGGCTTTTAACCCAGCATGAGATTCTGTTTCTGTTTGTTTTTATATGCTTCATTGGTTTTGTTGTTTTTATATTGTTATTTATTGTTGTTTTGTTTTTGTTTTTTATGGCGTGTACAGCACTTTGTTTCAGCTCCGGCTGTTTTGAAAAGGGCTTTATAAATAAAGTTGAGTTGAGTTGAGACACGCTGCTTTCTGCCGGAGTTTTGAAAAGATACATTTTGCACCACAGTAGGAAATGGCCTTAATAGATCTTAAAGGGGCGAGCAGAGCTGTTGATCAATACCAGTGACTAAAGGATCACTTTGCAGGTGCTAAGATTTATGGATTCAAAGCTCTTTGTTTGGGTCCAAAATAAATGGGTTGCTGGTATTCCAAGTTTAATTCAGAATCTTCTTCTAATAGAGTATTGTACTAACTATGCAATAGTGCTTATGCTGTATTCTGCTTTTCTCTGTGTTCCTATCAACTCTGTGCTCAGATTAGCTGACAGCCTAATTAGCAAGCTGCCAACTTCTGCCAGTGTTATTGCAATCTGCCACCACTTAGAAAGAGTACAAATACACACTCTATGGAACAGGGTTTTATTTTATAGCTAATTTGTTGGGAGCCTGATAGCTCGGGAGGCCGAGCAATGAAACCATCCTCAAAGTTCTTATTCTTCTTTCTGTTAATTGAGATTTATTTTGAATTCAGTATTATATAAACCTGGTCTACAGATATTTCCCCTTGTACAATCTAGTGCATCCGTTCATTTTAAGCAGCTTTAGTCAGTAAGTATTTTAAAGCAGTAATTTGGCAAAACCGACCTCCAAAAAAAAAAACTGGGAAAAAGCAAAGGGTTAAATTAGTTAAAACATGTATTTTGAAACTGCTATAGCACCATACTCCTATTAAATGAACCTCAGAAAATGAATGTCGAATGATTTACTGTATTAAACAAATGACATAACTAAACTAAAAGAAACTCATTATCTTTGGTGATGTAAAACAGTTTGACGGTACCACGAACACACGCCATGGTTAAAGTAAAATGTTACATTAATTGTAGCTTTATCATGTAATTACCCGCCGGGATACAAAAAAAAACACTCATCATAAACACAGTGTAACTAGCATGTAAATATGAAAACTAAATCCAGACAGAAGCTCCTCATTAAGATGATTGTACCCTTCCCAGTCACTGACACAATTCATCAATGACATGAATTTGATCATAGTGCTAAATGTCTCGATGGAAAACATATTAATTTCCCCAAGGAATTTGAAGAGTTCAACCTAAATATATGAAAATGCATTTCTTATTCATACAATTAAAACAACCGCTCTTCGCTTCCGTCTCTAAAATATGTCTTCACTTCATTTTCCACCAGGGGAAAAAACGTTGCATCCGCTTCACTCCATCGCTTTTCTGGTTCATGCAGATCATGTTCAGAGCATCAAATGAAATCAGACGGCGCCCAGCAGCGTCTTTTAGAATTGGTAACCAGGCCGGCTGCCACCGATCGCTGTTGGTTGCCAAAGTTCAGTTGACAGAATGGCTGCCATAAAGTCATTGATTATAGAAAAAATAGGTCTGGATAATCACACCACATATAACCAGTTAACTGAAGCACTTAAAACTAAGAAGAAATACAAAAATCATCCGACGGTATTGCTCAATATTTACATGAAGGAACTTTTGTACTGTAGTTATTAACCCTAGAGTTAAATGGTGCATTTCAGTATGAGGAATAATTTCCTACTGCACGGCTTGATGTGGTACGCAAAGCGAAACTTTAACTAAATATATTGTTTCTGAATTAGCAAAAGCCTAATTTTCAGCATTCTAATTGTAATGTTGTTAAGTGTGTTGACAACTGTCCTCTCACCTTCTGATTTATTTAAGCGTTGTTACTTTTCAAGCTTTAGGTTCATTTGGGTGGAGCAGCCTCTGCGCTGATACTATGATTACTGCTGACACCAAACATACTATTTTTAAAGGTTTTTTTTTTTTTTAACCAACAGAAGGTGCATAAACCAGAATATACGTAATGCTTGATGTTCTCCAAAGTTAGTCTTGACCCCTGCCAGACACTTACATGCTAAACAAACTCAGCGACTAAGCAAACATACAGGTGGGTAATGGGGTTTAGCAAAAACTGATTAGAAGTCTAGCACAGTTCAGATATGTAATCAGACTATGGCATATTACAATTTCAAAAGTCAGAGTAAAAAGTGAACTGATGTATATCATGTAAATATTGTGCATATGGGCTACACATACTAATGCATGTAGGAGAAAAGACGTAGGCATTTCAATTAGTGTAACCGTCAAACAAGTTTCAGCTGGCTCTTGAGCGAAATATGAACTATTTAAGGTATTTGACAGTCAGCCACAGTAATGCAAAACGACTTGGTATAGCCTGTGGTGCAGTTTGACATATACAATCTAAATCATAGCAGTTTGCAGAAAGACCTAATGTGCAACATATATCATTACAATTTGAAATGGCACCTCAGCCTAAATCAGCCATAAAGGTACCCCTTTAGAAATTTAGCTTTTTGATAGAAGAGATATACGGGACAATACAATATGGAGAAGTTCACAGATTCAGAGATCACACTGAGCAAGTGCAGCAGACGTAAAAAGCACTGCAACTAAAAGAAATGAAAAAACTCTCCTCTAGTATACCATGATTATTGCAATCACATTATTTTAGAATATATAATAAACATATGGGAAATGTTTTATCAGATCTCTTCAATACACAGTCGAGCTTATTTGCAATGACCAATATTTGTTCTATTGTAAACTGTCCCCCTCACAAACCATCAAAAGGGATCATTATCAAAACTGTTCGTGTTTAATGTGCTAATGTTTGAAAAACTCCAATCAGCCGATATTTGATGTATAATATAATAGAGTCTGTTTAAGTTTATAATGATCTCACTGCTGTCACAAGTTGAAGGCAACCTTTTTGCGGCTATAGCTTTTTCCACTTTTCCTACCCCAGCATTAGACTGACACAACGAAGGTGCACCATTAGTGCCAGAAGAGCTCCTTCCTCCCACTGGCTTTTAGTGTTCAATGCTTTTCTCGCCGCTCACACTGACAAGGGATTATTACCATATACCTCAAACTCAGTGCAATCTTTATATTCCTATTAAAGCTATTTAAAAAAAAAAAAAAAAAAGCAGCTGTGTTTTCCTTTAATTTCAAATAAATACTATATACCATTAAATCTTCCATTAGGGTAATTCATTGCTTGTTATTCGGAACATTGTAATCCTAATCCGCAGTCATTAAGACATTACACCTGTATTTGAATGATCTACATAAATATAGTACATTTAAGCAAACAGTATTGTTATTAAACCACGTATATCAAGCACACAAACAACACTACCAATAGGAATATAGCTCTCATTTTATGTTCTTTGATATGCATTGCAAAATGGTAACGAAACTCAATGTCAATATGTTTTAAATAGCCTAATGTCAACTAAATCGGAACCTAAACAATGCACTTTGTTAACAGCTGTGTCGTTAATACCTAAACATAAAGGGATTAGTCTACAAAGGTCTAGTGTGGATAGACAATTCAAAGTGTATGCAGTCGTTGTTCTTAAAAAGTAAATGGAGGGTCATTGCTGTAATTCCAAAAACACAATTGCACAAAAGTGGTCTTCAACCTAATAACAGGACAGCTACAGTAGTGCGTGGCACAAAGATCTTACAATGGTGGAGAAGTTACTGCACATTAGAAAGAGATACATCTTTCTTTTTTTCACCGATGACTATCTGAGTAAACCAGCAATGGAAAGTAGCTATTCTGTTGAAACGGCTCACGTCATGAGAGTTGAAAATAAATCTTTACTGAAAATCAACAGCATTTAAAACCCAAAGATGTCTGGACGCTAGCTAACCGGTGGCAGAAGTTAAGTTTTTCAGTTTCTGATCTGGTCCATTCATTAAAAAAAAGGCTTGTCATGACTTCTTCGCGTAGCCACATCCTCACAACCTGTCCAGCATGACAGTAATGCAGTAAAAGGTGATACTTTTGGTGATGAGCTGGCAGGAAAACCTAGCCAGCTAGCTAGTGAGCCAGCCAACAGCATACTTTATACTAAGCAGATGTATCGTTAGCATACAAGCTAACAGAGGTATTGCATTCCAGAGACAAGTGAGCACAGAGCTTTGAAGTTCCTGCATTCCCTCTCCGGTTCCGTTCTGAAGCCGACAAGCTTGAGGTTGTATTAGACGTTTATCGGTTAAGTGCTTCACAAAAATAACATGTGACAGAATTGGAAACACACGACTGGTGCGGTTTAAATGTTCGCTGATGTTAAACTGTGAACATATCAGCTAGCAGCACTGCATACGAGTGTCTGGACAGAGGGAGCCAACAAGACTTAACATTAGCAACCTTACCTGCAGAATAAAAGCTGTCTTACAGAGCGGGAGTTTGTTCAGGGGAGACCAGAAGTAGTTGTTTTCGGTTGGTCGGTGAGTTTAAAAGAGTCCTGTGTTACCTCAGGCTGAATCAACTAAAGAGACTGACTGAGTGTGCTGCCTCCCAGCCACAACAGCGACTGAATACAGCTCAGGGTCTGCTTCTCAGTGGAAGCATATGCAGTATCGCGAGATAGGACGAGACCTTGGAGATATGTACGAACCAATCAAATGTGTCGAATGGAGCCAAGTATTTGTTTTGTTTGTGCCATGGTTGTTGCTCTGTGGAAAAGGCTGAATATACAATTCAAGTAAATACAAAAAATTCAAATGTTTAATTACAGATTACGGAGAAATGATATGTTTTTGTTTGCTTGGCTTTGCTGCTCTTGATTTGAGTGTCATTGTGTTGTTGGTTCTGTTTTTGTAACAACACTGAGGGCCAATGATAAAAATCCTTGGCCAATAGGGCGGATTTTTCTTCTTATTGTGATTACAAAGAGATGCATGGATATATAATAATTAACCCATATGATTTGAACCAGCTGGTAACCGACCCATATTCTCCTTTGCTTTTTTTATCTAACCGATTCCTCTGTGTAACCCTGGCAAATAAATGCAAAAAAGAAAAGCTCTTGTCTGATACTATTGTTAAAGATTCAGGTAGAGTGTGCTGCAGTGTTTTTTGAGTGGAATGAGGAAACACTGCTGAAATGTGTTACATAAAGTGCAATTTCAAGCTTTCTTTGAGCTGTAATGTTTTTTCCATGAGTAGATTTTAAAGATATTGACCTCCTAATGCTGATGTGAAATGTTATGAAAAAAACCATGAAAAAGAATAAGAGTAGAGGATATTATCACAGGCAAACTGAACTTAGGGTGGAGCATTCGCCTGATGCAAGACAGCAACATCTCTCTTTGAAAAGTGGTGCACTTTGACTGTCATGTAGGCCCATAGAGGACTGGTTGTCGTGGAAGCTGTAGATATTGTCGAGGATTCTCATTTAAAAAGTTTTTTCCTGTTAAATATGTGCTGCAAAAGAAATGTCTGACATTCCTTTATTCACAATAAACTTTCTTAACCCTTAGATGTATAAGTGGGTCTTTTTTGACCCGGTGAGGTGGTTTTCTTAGAGTATCTTTGTAATAACATTTTTGTATCATTTTATATTCCAGCTATTCCTCAAAAAACATGTTTTGGATATCATGCCATTCAAATTTTTTATTTAAATTTGATACATTTTTAGAAATTGTAGTTTTTGTATCACTACCCCAAGCTTCCATAAGTGGGTCTTTTTTATCCCGGCGAGGTGGTATTCCATAAGTAGGTCCTAAATAAGCCGCATGCATTTTCTATGGAATTTCGTTTTTTTTCCAAAATGTAATTTTTTTTTCTAAAATTATAAATAGTGAAAAATGTAATGTAAAATATTTCTTGTGTGAACCAAAATATAATACTAAATATTATACAAGTGATTTTTCCTAACCAAAATGACAAAAATGGCATAAAAACACATATTATTCTAATACGGGTCCTTTTTGACCCACTTATGGAAGAGTGTAGGGTCCAGTCACTCGTGCATCTAAGGGTTAAAACTTAATAAACTTCTTCAAAGCTATAGGAGAACTTGTGTTTCATTAAGGTGTAAGTCATATCTAAGATATTGTCTAGAAGATTAACCATATTGTAGTATGGTTCTATTGATGTCCGTTAGCATTTACTGTAGATATGACATGTAAAGCCTTAGAGCGCAGAAAGGTTGTTTTGTTCTTTAAAGTCAGGTACATGTATGAACTCCGATATCATTAAAGTTTATATTATGTTGACTGGGTTGTTTGTGCGGAAATTGTCTTTAAGGACTATTTTTAATATGTCTTCTTCTAATATTCCTCTGTTACAAATAAAGTAAACCCCTGGTGATATATTTTCCTCAAGCATTGTGAGAAAATAACTGTGTAATTAAATGTTATGTATAGAGCTTTATTTTCAATGTCAAGGATTGTGTACTTATAATGAACAACTTACATAGGGACTGTGTATTTTTAATGAGAGCTTTTTTTCTTGTCTGTAATGTTTACAAGGAACCAAAGCCACTGGAAAGTTATTTTGAGACATAAGGTTTCCAAATCAATGTAGAAATCTCTGAACAGAATTATTGATTGAACAGACAAGATGAGCTGCATGTGTTGTGTACTGTAATTTTGTGAAATGATACTGTGATTTAGCTGTAGGCTACAGTGTGTTCTTATGTTAATTCAAAACCAGAAGCTTATCATAAAGAGAAACATAACAGCATTTATTGAAACACTGTAATATCACTTCAAGTGATAACAGCTGTGAGGATAATGGGAACTGATGTGAGATTGAAATGAAAAGGAAATGTCACAGCTCATTTCTCCACTCAACATGCATACAGCATGCAAATCCTGTCCTCTTTTGCAAAGCAATTTACTGCACTGTGAAAGGAGCATGTCGTGCTACTGTAGCTAAAGTACAGACTCATCGAAAATAATTTGGGATTATATAAAGGAAATTCAAAGCAGACTATTTCCCATTCCATTCCTTCAAGTGTAACATAACAAGAAAGAGAATCAGTGAGTTGCTTTTGATAAAGACGTCTTCAGTCAGCAGAGAATTTATTTCACATTTCTAGTTGACAAGCAAAGTCCTCAATCAAACCCTATACTCACTCATGACTAACTCAGGAATTTGGTGATATTAATGGCCTCTTTAAAAATATATATATAAATAATAAAAATGCAACCACACACAGCTGAAGAGATTTATCAAAGTCTATGCTTACCTACACATTCAAAATGTGGACTACGTAAAGATATTTAAAAAGAGCTTTAAACACCAGTCCTACTTTTAGGGATTAGTAATCTTAATGCTCTGTCTCAAAAATCTAATTCCCTCCTTAAAAGTGCTGCACAAACTGAATGAGTCGGATGAACATTTCTTGGAAATTACTGTCAGTAGAGGATTGGCAAAATACAGCATAAGTAGAAAATAGAAAACATCTTCTAAAAAGTTAATAAATATAAGGAAAAGGCGAAATTGAATGCAATGTGTGTGTGCAGGTGAACCTGTGTCCCCTGCAGCCAGAGGGGTAGCTGGGAGGATCTCTTAGGTCACTGTCCTCTCTCTGGGTCTTTGGATCTGCCGCCAACTAAAACTGACTGACTGGGAGAGATAAGGCGCTTTAAATCCCTGCCATTATTTGATCTATGGCTATTGGTATTCTAAGTCTGTTTCTCATTTCAGCTTTTGGAAAAGGAGATAGCTGCGCCACTTAAATGTGGTGCTCTACGTATCTGACATCAACCCCAGGCATATGAAAGAGAAATTAACTGAGTGACAGCCCTATGTGGACAGAGATAGAGTTTGGGGGGGTGTCACTTTGGATGGAGATATTCGAAATAAACTTCTCTCTTATACAGCTTTATCAATGTGACAACATCTAACCATTTCTTTTCCAAAGCTTGGAATGTCACACACAGTGATTTGTGTTCTTTATTTTGACGATGTTCTCTTCAAATAACAGACCCTATGAAGAGAAGCTGTTACTCTACTAAGGCAGTACCTAATTGGGATTCCAGTTAACCAAAACAAGCAAACAAAATAATATTTTGCACAAAACTAAGCTTTTCAGAGTGTGATATAATTTGCACTAATGGAGAGTGTTCTAACAGCTCCTTAAAATTCACAAACACCCTCAGAAACCATTCAGATTAGTAACAGTTTGTAACTTAATTTACATTCTCAGTTCTTGAGAACAGCAATGTTGTGTTGCTAATGGACAAAAGGGAGAGCAAAGGGAAATAATTGAATGCTAATTTTCACACAAAGCACCAAGGGTCATAACTGACACAGGCCTGGATGCAATTTGCTTTAGAAATGAATTCCCTGCAAGATGTCATTGAAACAAATGTATCAACAGCAAATGAGAAAAAAGGGAATAAGTGTAGGAAAGTGTTTAACAGGGTGCAGAGGTCAAGTTAGACAGAGACTGAGCAGGATGGGATCTGTTTGGCTAATCGAAGTTCATGTTTTTATTGTGGCATGCACATACAAGTTCTCTCAGACCTGTAAGCCTTTACACAAATGTTACAGTAATTGAAGATTTGCCAGACAACAAGATGACGTCTTTCATTAAACAAAATTGTCTCAGCTATATACTAACATTACTGTGCACACAAAAATGTTTGACTTTCTGTCTTAATCTGCTTCACATGAGGCTCAATTAGTTTTTATCAGACAAAATATCGATCATTTTGGTTTGACAGACCATCGTTCCTTGTACATTAGGAACATTTTGTACTGAGCATCATACAAATTGTACATCTGTTATTGATAGGCACAACAATAAATGAATTATACAAAACAATGATTTTGAATCACTTATCAAGATACAAAATGTCCCAATTGAAGATCAGTCTCTTTTCAGACACACCAACAAGTCTTTTCCAAAGTGAAATTATTCCACATTTATGTCTAAATATGTAACTCATAATTGTGTTGGCAAAAAACATCTTAAAGGATTTGTGGAAAACACTTTCTTTAACAAAGCTTCAGTTAAATATCATCCTTACATTTCTGCAGTTAAGCAAAAGCAACTTATAAAATGAGTTTGTAACAACAGCACGTTAGCACTCTGTCTCTCCTGAAAGGCCTGACTGAGTCACGGATGCTCAGATTAAGATTCCTCACAGAGATGAGTCTGTCTGCCCGATGTTTGATTGATCTGACCGTGCAGAGTGCGCCATGAGCCTGAGCTTCTCTTGTGTTCCACTTTAGCGGCTCTTTCAAGGTCATAAAAGATTCATGTGCTGTGGCTTCCAGTGTTTTTTAAATTTACTTTAAGTAGAGCATTGCAGAAATACACCAAGAGAGGGACAGGTTTTTGTGTTGATTTTATAGATATTTTTCAAGCACCCGAAGAAACCAAGGGATAGAAAGCTGGCTCATGAATGAGGAAAAAAAACTCTTTACACCCAAGTACTTGAGAAGAAATACATGTTTAAATGCAAATCTACTCCCACGCCTTCTGCTGTATAAGAACAAACGTACTAGTCGTGAAGGAGCGTATTCAAAAGCATCTCCAGGGCGGCTGACAAAACAAAATCAGAGATCAGACACCTATTGTT